GTGGGGGCTTGGAGTCCAAGTTTGGACGGGGACCCGGACCCCTGGATAGGAGAGTGGTGGGTTGGTCTTGCTTGTGCCTGGGGTACAAGCGGGGCGTGTGTTTCGGAGTACCTAGTTGGGCACATTGATTCATGAATCGCCGGGTAATCCGTTATGACTTGTCTATAGTCTAGCACCGTAGTAAGAACTGAAATATGGAAGATGAAAACTGGTTCTGATTGCTTACCACCTGCTTGAAATTAGCACAGGTGCTTACCTAGAATGGTTAGTTAATGAATTAAGGATGATTGCTAATAAAATTGAATATAAGGACGCATGTTTAGTAATGCTCCTGCAGATGCAATAACCCACAAGCCAAATAGCCTTACATATCCTTGGAGTCTTTTCTTTCCTCCTGACGGGTAAGTCTTGCGGAGTACAATTGAATACTCAGGGTTTGTTCTACCCTGTTGCAGGTGATAGGAACATGAAGCTGACACTTGTGTGTGGAAACCTCCTGGTGGGCTCAACGAGGATTTCCTTAATGTTGCGGGCATAGAGTTTGTTTGAAACTTTCACACAAAATGTTTTACAATGAAAAAACTTATAACCTGTTATGATGTATATAACGAATCATCATGTTAATGTTTAACTTGTCATTAAATGATTTTATTTTCGCTGAAACTCTAATAACATGATTATATTCCGCTGATATAAACAGTAAATATTATACTCTGATGTTGCATAAAAATTTATGGAAGAAATGGCTAAATATTGTAAGCTTTATTCTCTCATTTGTGATCCTGATCGAAAAATGTGGATTTTTGGGTTCTCCCATGGGGTGTGGCCGATGGAACTGCGTAATTTAGTGTCATTCCTTGAGTACTTAGTGTCTAATGGAAGACAAGTACTCCTGGGAGGCATTAGATTAGGTGGTTCTGCCATAGCATAGGTGAAAGGTTTAAAACATGTAAATGCCATATTTGGCTCTAGTAGGAAATTCTCACCATTGAGGGAGTATGTGACACTATGGTTTTATGATATTTTTATCAAAAACAAATCTCCAAGTACCTCGAATAGAAAAGGTAGGATTTTTAAGATAGAACTATATCACACTCCACAACAACTTGGTCAATATGATTGTCCTACGAACATTTTTTCCACAAGCATAAGTATATGTATATGGAACAATCTTTAGGCAAGCTTCTATCTCAAAATGTCATAAACATGTCACTTTTTTAAATTTTAATCAAAGTGTGGTCTTGGTTCATTTTAGATTGCATACGAATATATCAAAGTATCATACATGTACCAAGAAGATGAGAGGAAGTGTCAAACCAGCGTTTTAAAGTGAAGCATCAGTAGTTCAGGCTGGCACATGGGCTCAAGGCACCAGGGTATCGTCGGTCGACCCTACTTGGAGACATACCTGTCCATAGCTGAGCTCCCAAACAAGAAGTACCTAGAATTATACAAGATGGTTACGAAGCGTATGATGCATGGCACTTGCGGAGCGCTTAATCGCAACTACCCATGCACAAAGGGTCATGATTCCTGCAAGAATCGTTACCCCATACCTTTTTGTGATGCCATAGTATAGGGCAAGGATTCATACCCAATTTATAAACGGTGTGAAGATGGTCAAAAAGAAAAGGTATGTGGACACGAGCTTGACAATAGATGGGTCGTGCCTTACAACCCATATCTCCTCCATCTGTTCAACTGCCACATCAAATGTTGAGGCATGTGGGAGCATTAAGGAAGTCAAGTACCTATTTAAGTATATATACAAGGGTCATGACCGGACATCTATGGCTGTGAGAAAGGCTGACAAGGAGGATCGTGAAGGGAACATCAATGAGATCAAGCGGTACAGAAATGCTAGATGGGTAACCCCTCTAGAAGCCTTGTGGAGGATATACAATTTTGATTTGAGCGAGTGGTCGCCTTCTGTTTTGCCCTTATAGCTCCATCCTACAGACATGCACATGGTGTCATTTCACAGGCGCGAGGGTGTTCAATGAGTGCTTAATCATCTGGGCATTAAAAAGTCAATGCTTACAGCGTACTTCGAGATGAATAGGACAGATGAAAGAGCCCGAGGTATCTTGTACAGGGACTTCCCCGAGTTTTATAGGTGGTACGCACAGGACAAAAATTGGTAGAGGAGGGTACAAGATAAATTTCTACAACAAATTGGAAGAATCGTCTCTATCAATCCAGCCGAGGGGAGCGTTACTATCTTGGGGTTCTTCTGAACAATGTTCCTGGTGTAACCTCCTTCAATGATCTTAGGACCATTGATGGTGTAATCCTATCGACCTTTCATGAAGCTATAGAAAGAACGAGCTTGATCGAAGCAGACAACACGCTGGACGAGAGCCTTGCTAAGGCTACTGAGTGGATGATGCCATATGCATCGAGAAGGCTCTTTGCAACGATATTGGTGTTCTGTGAACCGAGTGATGTATTCGGAATCTGGAAGAAACACAAGGGGGCAATGTCGGAGGACTATAAGCGCAACAATCAATCCAACTTCATGGTAGACTAGATGGTCCTCATAAATATTCCGAAATTGCTACAATCAATGTAGAAGGATATAAAGATGTACCCACTTCCTGATTTTAATGACACATAGGACGCCTCTAGCGAAATTCCCAGGGATATTTTTTGTGGAGGCTAGCATTGAGGTCGATGCTATGACATAACTCTATCAGACACCCTTAATGAGGAGCAACGGGCTGCCTACAATGAGATTATGTCTGTTGTTGATACCGAAGATGGTGGCCTGTTCTTTGTGGATGGACCTAGGGGCACTGAGAAGACTTATCTGTACAAGGCCCTGCTCGATACTATACATAGCCAGAATAAGATTACTGTGGCAACAACTATGTCTGGTGTTGTAGCCTCAATAATGCCTGGTGGTAGAACCGCCCACTCAAGATTCAAGATTCCCCTCACCATCAACAGTGGGGCCTTTTGCAACTTCACAAAACAGAGTGGTACTGCCAAGCTGCTTCGAATTGCATCTCTCATTATTTGGGATGAGACTACCATGACAAAGAGGCAGGGTGTCGAAGCGCTAGATAATAGCCTCCGTGATATAATGGACCGACCTAAGCTACCGTTTGGGGGCAAAACTATCGTGTTTGGTGGAGATTTCAAACAAGTTCTCCCTGTTATTCGAAGAGGGTCGAGGTCTCAGATAGTCGATGCCTCATTGCGGATGTCGTACCTTTGGAATTCCATGTGACATCAAAAACTGGTGCGCAAAATGAGGGCAAAAAGCAACCCGCGGTTTGAAAAATACCTGCTACGCATTGATGGAGGCTCTGAGGAGGCCAATGATGATGATGAAGTTCGCCTTCCTCCTGATATATGTGCCCCGTATACCAGGAAAGATAGCGATCTTGATACACCGATTGATTGCATATTCCCTAGGCTCAATGCAAATATGCCAAACAAATACTACATTACCTCTCGAGCGATATTGTCTACACAGAACGAATGGGTCGATATGATTAACATGAAGATGATAGGTCGTTTTGAAGGGGATCAGATGGTCGCTTCGACTATGCGATGGATGATCCGCACAACTACTATCCCGAGGAATTTCTTAACACTTTGACAACAAAAGGTCTACCACCACATGTGCTAAACCTAAAGATTGGCTGCCCAATCATATTGCTTAGGAACATTGACCCAGCGAACCGACTTTGCAATGGTACCAGGCTTATCATACGAGGATTCCAAAAAAAAAACCATAGGCAGAAATTGTGTTGGGGCAGCATGCTGGAAAGCGAGTTTTTTTTGCCTCGCATACCCTTATGCCCGTCTGGCGATGAAATGTTCCCTTTGCAAGGGGAAGAGGAAGAAGAAACTGACAGAGAATATATTTACGAAAAATATCGTCTATAAAGAGGTTCTAACTCCGTAAAAAAGGTAATTTCTCTCGGCAATACATATTTTTCTCCATATATGGTCAACAAAATTGTAGCTTAAAATATTAACAAAAAGATTATATGCAGGATACTACCAACACATCAAGGAGAATTCCATGGACTACTTTACCGATGGTGCTTGCCGAGTCAATACCCTTAGGACACTATTAAGAATGTGTGGCATATAGGTGTGCTGGAGGATACAATTAAAACATAATTGCCCCTATTAGTTATAGCTATTCACAAAATTAAGTTTGTAATATTGATGATATGAACATCACGTTAGAAAATTGCTTTTTTTTAACACGTTCATATTATTTTTTAAAAAAATACAACACACGCTCATACTTAAAATACCATATTATTGTTATGTTTCCGTGCAACGCACCGGTATTTATCTAGTAAGAGAAAAATTAAACAATGTTGATAGTTGAGGAAGCTAAATGGACTTTTTCCATATATATTAAAGATATATGGCGCGCCGAATCGGCGGCCTCCCAGAGTGTCCATGTACGTTCTTTTTATTTGGTGTGTTAGATAGAGATTCCATGGCTCAGATGAGGCGTGTCACAACCGGCCTTCGTCCGTGCATTCCGCAGTGGGTAGATGAAGCAACTGGACGCATTAAATGAAGTATGGCTTCCTCTGATCGTAGGCGACAAGCAAATGGACGGTGGCGCGTAGCAGGGAACGGTGGATTCTCGGCATGCATGGTCGGTGCCTAACTCATGGTGGTCGGCAAGCATGCGAGCCGCTGGGGCCTAGCTTGCTTTGCAGAGCTGGGCTCCACCGTGGTCCTCTCCTTCCTCTTTCTCTCTCGTGTAATAAATGGCAGGCGGCAGCAGCTCCCCTCCTCCCCTCCTCTCTCTCCTCTCCGCACTCTCGCTCTCTCCCTCGCTCCTAGTCGCGACCGCCGAGGCTCCCCGCACCCTGTGCGCGGCGCAGTGGCGTCCCCCGGCACGGCGCCATGGTGCGCCGTCCAACGCCGGTGGCCGTGGCGGCGTCCGAGCCCCTGCTCTCCCCCGGCGCTGACCGTCGCCCACCGCCTGTGCAGACACGACGAAGGAGGATCACGACGCGATGGAGGATCAAGACATGGCGCAGCTCGTGCTCAACCTCTGCATCCCGGAGCTCCGAGAGAAGGTTCTCCTCTTCCTCTCCAAAGTGAATGATCCCTGGTCCTCTCGCACGCCAACTCCTCCTCTCCCCCACGCGACGATGAGCCGACGTCCACCAGGTCGCGCGCGGCTAGGACAACAGCCCCGCCCCCGGCGGCGGCGGCTAGGGTTAGGGTTTCGGGCAACAGTGATCTAGCACCTCTTCTTTTTCTCCTATTATTTTTATTCTGTCATTTGCTTACATTAATTAATTTCTGGGTAGTAGTATCTTGTGCAAATACAGTTGACCTATTTCCCTGGTGGTATAAAGTAACTAGCAGAGTGTATTTATATATTTAGGCAATTACGCTTCCTTTCTTCTCAAAGTATTTGAGACATTGATGTGATTCGAGGACCAGTGATTCAGACCATAAAAAAGGATACTCTGTAGATATAACTTGCTGGTGACCTGGTGTACCTGCAAATAAACATGTACATTGTCTTCGGTTTCAACTTTGAATCAATTGCACAACTGAATCGCCTTTTAGAAGCATAGTGAATATGTTGGTGACATAGTGAAACCTTTTTTTGTAACTAGGATTCAGTTTTACATTAGATTTGCCTAGATTCTGGTGGTACGCAATCTTTCCTTGCATCCTTTTGCCTCGTTATTGCCTCATTAGAGGGGATCCTAAAAACGGATGGAATAGTTGTACTTGGGTGTGCTTCAGCTTAGGTACAGTGATGCCCACATACAGTTTGGTTATCCTGTGCTTTTGGATCTTGCATCTTTTTTAACTACTGTGCTTACTAACAGTTTCCTAATAGAGTGCTTTCTAAATCTAAAAGGACTCATCACTTCAATCTGAAGGCATTTTCAACCTAAAGGACACAGCCAAATGGGATGCTTGGAAGGTTATTATAGGTTTGTTCAGATTTATTCCGGATTTGCTATTTTCCCCTCTGACCAAACTCTGAATTGACACTTATACATCGTTGCAACTTTTGCACCTGAACAGGGAAATCCAAGGAGGATGCGACGACTGACTACATCACCAAATGTACTTCATGTGTAAAATTGTTTGGAGCAATTGAGTAGCATACAGGTAGCTTGCAGCACCATGACTATGTCATCATATTTTTACTGTCTTGCATATTATCTGCCTGTGAGATCAATGAAGTTGGTCTCGTAGCTTGCACCACCATGACTATTTCATCATATTTTTACTGTCTTGCATATTATCTGCCTTTGAGATCAATGAAGTGGGTTCGGCTAAGAAGAATGTTGTCTCATGTGGCTTCTTGATGAAACTTTTCAAGGCATTTTGGATTTCATAGTTTTTCAGTCAGCCCCTACTGAAGGTAACAGATACTCTGTCCTCTGTTTTGATTGCTTGACCTTATAATAAAATTTGATCAGGATATACTGTGCCTGTGCACCTTTTATTATATTTTTCGAATTAGTGTAGACCAAGATATTTATTTAGTTAATGATCATATAGTAGAAAGTTGTATGCTTTATCTCAGTTCTAAACCTATTGTAATGGGAAGTTTTCTGCAAGTTTAACTACCTATTCTTACTAAAATCTGCACATTTTACTTTGAGTTGCTATAGTTTGTCATGGGAAGTGAATGCATTATAGTTTGTTTGTTTTTTTACAATTTATTGTGTATGCATGAAATATGTAAATAGCATTTGCTTTGATCAATTCACATGATAGCACATCACACTTTGAGCTTGAAGTCTGCATTCTCTTGTGTATTCGGTGAAACATTGTGAACCCAGTGACTCGATGTAGGAGGAAATTGCAGAAACTTAGAACCTTTCTGTTTCTGGGAAAATAGGGCTCTTACTATTTTGGAGTTCAGTTCCATATTATAAAATTTGATAGGACATGGACCTCGTGATGCTACTTTAGCACCAACATTTGGAGCTTACTTTGAGACTTACCTGGTGCACCTTGCTACCTTCAAACTGCTTTTATTTTGATAGTTCTTTGAAAGTTCTATCAGATTGTCACATTTCTATTGATTTGCCTATTTCAATTCAAGAAAAACTATCTACTCTCGGCAGGTGGTCAGCAACCCAGAGAAGACACCACTTCACACCTTCTTCTGTAGCTATGATTTGAGTGACATTCCTGCTGGAACCAAGGTATGAGAAATCAATATTATGTTATTGCCTTTAAAATGTATTTTGATTTGATATGAACTGCATTTTTTTGCTCATTGTATTTTATACCATGGCACATTTTTTCTTATTTGCAAGTGGAAATGAGTAAATTGTGATGTATCACGAGTTGCAAGTGCTTATCATCTGGTACCATCTTGCAAGTATCTTCAGCTGCATGAATAATGTCTGCCTTTTCTATGAAATGGATGTTTTGTGCCTTCCTTTAGCAGTCACATTTATTTAGTTTTGTCTCTTTACTTCCTTTTCTCAAATCCATTTTCTGATATTGTAAAATGGGACAGCCTTTCATGCGGCAAAAGATCACTCTATCCTCTGCTTCTCCCTCTTATCCGAGCAGAGAAGGAAGCAAGGCCAGTGATGTAAAGGTCGAGTCAGTCTAGTGTGGAAGTGAACTTATAGAGTGCGGTGCTCTATTTTCTGAATGTAATAAAGCCAATACCATTGGTAGATAAATTCAAACTACGAAGTCCAAGTTAGTTAAAAGTTGTTTTAACTTTGCAGGTCTGGACAATAGGCATGAGTCGGAAAAGGGAGGTTCTGCAGATATGGAGTGTTTTCCCATGGAGTGTGACGTTAGAGAACCAAATGCATACGCTACTTCGAGGAATTCAGAAAATGATGCTAATGCTGAGGGTTGCTGCTGTCAAATAGACTCATGTCAAGGTGGAAAGAAATCTTTCAGCAGATCTCCCAAGGTCAATGACATTCCAGCTCGAGGGGTTCTGCGGTATGCTTTGCACTTACGTTTTTCTAGCCCCTTCTCCAAGAACCCATCAAAATCAAGGCAGCATTGCAAATTGGATCTGTCATCAGAACCGCACACTCGCAGTAGGATTGAGGAAGAGAGAAGATTTTATCTTTACAATGATATTAGAGTTGTCTTCCCTCAGAGGCAATCAGACTCTGACAAAGGCAATGTACGTGGCAATTAAGATACACATCTAGGCCGTCTATTTCGTCCTTGTAGCACACCTTTAGTTTAAGCACCCTTACAAATTATATTTGGCTTTAACTTCATCTTAAATCAAAATTTTCTAACTTTAACCTAGCTAATAGAACAATGCACAAACATCTTTAACATAAAATTAGTTTCACTAAATTTTACATGAGATATGTTTTTATTATGTATCTATTTGAACTTGTACATGTTTTTTTTTCAAGTTGGTCAAAGCTAGATTTATTTGACTTAGAGACAAAGATACAGTGAACTATACTTTAGAACAGAGGTAGTAATTCTTTATGAAGTGGTGAGAGTGATCATCTGAACGTAACATAAAAGTATTCTAGGATCCACAGAACTACCGACCGTGGGTTGAAAAAATTAGGTTGTTATGTTGTTGCTTGACTCTGTCATTCTAATATATTTTCATTATTACTGGATGTGTCACTTTGGCAACTTTTAAATATGTTTCATAAAGCTTACCACATGATGCCGTTTAGACTGACTGCTGCAGATGTTCCATTTGGCTTCTTGGTTGGATACACGGCTAACTGATTCTTTTTTTCCTCCTTGTAGCTGCGTGCTGAGCATGACTTCCCAGAAAATCCCAAGTATTTTGACATAAGCAACTAAGAACTCCTTGCACACTCGTGAAGCTGCAGATAAAATTTGTCCATACCATTTCGTCGCTAACTTATCAAACTTAACTGCTTATTGCCATTGATGTACAGACTAACCTTCCAATAAAATTCTTTATTTCATCTAATTTTTTTTTATGTATAAGGTAGTGTTTGGATCCACACCAGCTTCCACAAGCTGGTGGAGGCTTGGTTATCTCAGGTTGTGAGATTTGTGTGAGCTGGATGGTCGTGGGCTATTTGGATACCAAAGCTGGAATCTGCTATGATCCAAACAGGAGCGTATTATTCTTCATTTCTCCTCTTGATTTGAGCCCATGCGCTTTTTGCAATGGTATGAGCCAAAAATAAATACTTCTGCTGCTATACTTACACATTTACACTTATGAGCTATGACCTGAATTCTATTGTCCTCTATATGCTTTGAATGGGCTATGATAAAATCAGTCATCATAATTCTTTTGAGGACAATAGTAACAAGCAACTTTGTTGACAAGAAAACAAGTAGGAATAATATAAACAATTGGTACTCTCGAAGTCGAACATTTCACGGTTCAGATGTGGGTATTTCTGCATTGGGACCATGAAGTGCTTGGTAGAGAAGCCTGGACAGTATACTCCTGTAAGGAGTCCTCTTCCCTTTTCTCCTTCAGATAGCTGATACAGCTCTCCACCTCAGATTTGACTTGCAAATAGAGGCGCTGCGCCTCCTCTTTGTCTCATAGTCCTTTCTCTCTCCCTATGCAAGCAAGCAAACCGAATGAGAATTTTGTTCACCCAACTTCAGGTTTGAGAAATGCTCAAACGCATGTGCATTTATCGGTATCCAACATAGTGAGTAACCATGTCAAAAGTTGAGACTGAGAGAATGCCTTAAGAATACAGATCGAGGGGATATAATGAAATGTTCACCCAACTTCAGGCTTGCATCTGAATGGTTGCTTTTCTTGTAACCCGTTTGTTTTTTTGCCTCAAGAGCCCTAAGTAAGTCTAACGAGGTCTAAGGGTAAATCGACATAGCAAACACAATGGATAAAGCAAAATGCACATCCCAAACGCCCTTATACGGATACAACATACAAGCACTCACTCTCCTATTCTGGACACATCGTTTGTCTCCTACGACTCAACGATGCTTAACATCTACGGATGAAATACAACGGAAAGATTACAACACTAGAGAATGGTGATGAAAAGCACTACTAACTATGGGTACATGTCCCCTAGGACAACTCATCTACTTTGTCGGACCAAACGGCTTCATTCCTAACCTCGGTTGGTTCTTCTTCACTGGCTAAGGATCTGCCTCATCTCGTGGTGGTGACTGAGTGAGGGGAAGCAAGGACTCTACTTCTAATACCTCTGAGGGTGGAGATGCTAGTGGTACTGCAACATTGGTTCTCCTTCTTTCCGGCGGGTGGACAGGCATTCCCTCCAAGACCAAGGGTTCTTGCCTTTCTGTGTCAAGTGTCCTACGCTTGGCTCTTGTGACCAGATAAGCCTCCTCCAGCTGCTGGGTGCGCCGATCTTTAGCCTCCTTCAGGGCTTCCGCCATGGCAGTCTCACGACTTTCTGACGGTGACACATTGGCGTGCGCCTCAGCGAGATGCACTTCGAGCATCCTAGAAAAGATCTCGGCTTCCTCAGCTCGACGGAGGCACTTCTTCAGATCCGAGGCCTGCCGGTCATACTGCTCATCCAGAGCAATCAAATACCTGGCCAGATATACCACAGTTGGGCTATTTTCTTGCGCGTCCCCCACTTGCAAAGCCTCCATGCGAGCCCTCCATACACGTCGATTCTTTTCCAAAGGTGGAAAGAACTTCATGGGGGTACGAGCAATTGGCTCTTCGTAGATCTGGCAAAGATACCGCAAGGCTTTGTGGGCCATAGCTTGGTAGGTGTCGACTAAGCAGAACCCGATTGCGGTCACATTTTAGGCTTCAGTGGTATCGAGGAACTCCTCACTCTTCCCAATATAGACAGTGGCCTCACATCGCTCAGTGCCATGTTTCTCATACTCATGACCCTCATACCCAGGGCGATCCTTGACTCCAAGTTTTTGCAAGGTGGCATACGGGATTTTGGGAAAACCCTCAGTGTTCAGGCAATAGCTGCTAACCCAGGCTCCTGCCATCCTTGGTGGATGATGGTTACAAGGAAGGCTCAAGCGAGAAGATTGCTCGGGAAAAAGGCTAGGTGAGCTGAGACTCACCGAGTGGTGGTACCAAGTGGCTAGGCTAGGCCTTTTGTAATGGTGGAGCGGTTATTGGTCCTGGCATAGTCCACTATTTAGTCTGGCGCGAAGACCAATAAAAGGAAAGCGACAGGATTTTTACACGCACGAAACGAGCAGTGTCCGAAGCCATTCCCTAAGGTATCCAGAAATTCACTAAGTAAGTTTGAAAGCACTGGACATCTTCACCTACACAGGGTGGGTCGATAGCAGGTGGACACATTTGATGCCTCCCCTTCATGTTACCATCAGATAAAAACAAGTCGGGCAGGTGGACACATTTAATGCCTATCCTCCTTACCATCAGATAAAAGCGATTCACCGACCATGCAGGACCATTTGTACTTACACATGCATCCATGCATCTAAGACACGACTTGGGTTATGTGCACGTTGCTCCTGAGATGGTCGGTGGTTGGGGTTGGTCGCCATTACTACAGCTACCATAATTGCATCTGCATCCATGCTTGCAGAGTGCGCCTTCCTTGTGGCTTTGTGCTTTGCGTCGCATGCGGTTACACCTACCATGACCCAAGTCTCCCCGCACTCTTTTTTGGGCTCTTGTCGGAACCTTGCCTTGCAGCCGTATTAGTCATTAATGGCCTCAGACATCGCTCACCTCGAACGCATAGGGCGTGCATTCATGCATATCCTGTTTGTGCATTGTTGTGCCGTATTGCTGGCAGATACGCCATCCATAGGTGTCACGCGTGTCGTAGTGTGCATGGCCTACTCGTTCTTGTTACAGAATTAGGTCTGCACTGTGGCTTTGTGCTCCGCGTTCGCCCGTGAGTCACGTCAGTAGTGACCCACGTCTCCTCATGCCCCTTTTCTGCACTCTTATCGGACCATTGCCTTGCAGTCGTACTACTCAGGAATGGCACCACACGTCACTCGCCTCGAACGCGCAGAATTTGGTCGATTCGTTCGTAGTGATCCCGTGCAGGAACCCTAGTGAACCGCGCTAGGACCACAGACCGCTCTGCCTTTATAAGCAGAGCCTAGCTTAGCCATTGGTACCACCACTCGGCGCACTTTAGCTCACTTAGGTTTTCCCTTTGAGCAAGCTTTTTGCTCAGCCCTTCTTTGTAGCCACCGCCTGAAATGGCAGGAGCCTGGGTTAGTAGTTACTGCCTGAATGTTGAGGGTTTTCCTAGAATCCTGCATGCCACCCTACAAAAGCTCGGAGTCAAAGATCATCCCGAGTATGAGGGCCGTGAGTATGAGAAGCATGGCATCGATCGGTGTGAGGTTACCGTCTACATTGGGAAGAGTGAAGAGTTCCCCGACATCACCGAAGCCTGGAGTGTGACCGTAACCGGGTTTAGCTTCACCGACACCTACTAGGTTGTGGCCCGCAAAGCCTTGCGGTACCTTTGCCAGCTCTATGAAGAGCCCATTGCCCATACCCCCATGAGGTTCTTTCCACCCTTGGATAGGAATCGACGGGCATGAAGGGCTCGCATGGAGGCTTTGCAAGGACAGGATGCGCAGGAAGATAGTCCTATCATGGTGCACTTGACCACATACCTGCTTGCTCTGGATGAGCAGTATGACCGGCAAGCCTTGAAGCTGAGGGCGTGCCTCCGGCGCGTCGAAGAAGCCGAGATCTTCACTCGGATGCTCTAGGTGCAGCTCGCCGAAGTGCATGCCAATGTTGCAGCTGCTGAGAGCTGGGAAACTGTCATGTCAGAAGCTCTGAAGGAGGCCGAAGATCGGCATGTTCATCAGCTGGGTGAGGCCTATCTGTTCACTAGGGCCAAGCGGAGGACGATGGTCGATGAAAGGCAGGATGCCCTGATCTTGGAGGGGATCCCTATCCACCCACCTGAAAGAAGGAGAACCGGTGATGCAGAACCGCCAGCACCTCCACCATCGGAAGTGTTAGAAGCAGAAACCTTGGTTCCTCTCACTTAGCCATTGCCACGAGAAGATGCAGATCCATAGCCAGGGCGGTAGAAGAATCCGTCGAGCATAGGAATAAAGATGCGTGGTTCCAAGGTAGATTAGTTGCCTTAGGATGTTGTACCCGTAGTAATAGTGCTTTTCGTCGCTGTCCTCCTGTATTGTACTCTTGCCGTTGTTGTCGTCCGTAGTTGTTGATGCGTGTTGTAGTTTCGCCTAAGGGGAGTGGATCCTAATTCACTTTTTTTGTAAACCCTCGCGTTAGGAGAAGTACTTTGTTGTAGTATTTTCTATTTCCACCTATAATGTAATCCTACCCAATGTTGTGCTTTAAATCTAAGTGTGTTAGTTGCTTGAGCTCAACTCCATCAAATACTTCTTTCCACTAACACGCCATTGATTTGCTGACCTATAATAGGCACCATGTAATGACAACCAACCTCTATATTCGTTTACAATATTAACATCAACCTTTCGTACCAACACGATGAGAAAATATATTAGACATATGAGCCATATTTCTCAAATTTTTTCCTATACCAAGCACATCAACCGCAGCGAAGCGTGGGCAGCAGAGGCTAGTATATATATATGGGTCTGTCCGCTCATCCATGTAACTTTAGTGGGCAAAATAATTTGGACAGTCTAGCCACTGTTGAGCTTGGGCCGACCTTCTTAACCGTTCCGTCGAAAGTTTCGACAGGACGATTCTCCTGTTATAGTATGTTCCATCAAGGTTTTCCAGCAAACAAACTGGATACTTCTTCAGAAGAAAAAGCAAACAGAGTGGAAGTATGGCCAAATGGGAGTTTCAGCGTTACAAATTGCATGACTCAAAATTCTTCGTGAGGGCA